GCTTTTTAACAAAGACAATACAGCGACGACCTCAACATCTCCGGCTGCAAACACACGTTCACCTGCAAAACTGTGTTCAGCCCTAAATTTCCGTGGGTTTTGTGGCTTTTTTTTTTTTTTTAAGGGGAGAGTGGCAATAAAGAAAATGGCTGATTTAAAGTGGAGAGGGTAGAAAACTGCCGTAAAAACCAACAGCAAAAATGTTGGAGATAAGGTAATGAGAAACAACTTGCAGTTTTGCAAAACAGAACAGAGCTGGACACCGCAAGGAGATATATAATTATATTTTTTTTCCCCCTCCATGGACTCAGAGATTAATCTAATTCTCTCTTCCTTTCCAGAACTGGAATACAAAAAAAAAAAAAAAAAAAAAAAAAAAAAAAAAAAAAAAAAAAAAAAAAAAAAAAAAAAAACAAAAGAAAAGAAAAGAAAGAAAGAAAGAAATACTAAATTTCTCCCAGGGTGTGCCTTCAAGGCGGCAGAGAAAGGGAAGGGGAACCCGGCAAACCTATCCTTGTCTTCAGAAGGAGAAAATTCGGCTTCTTTCTTCTCGGAGCCCGCTGGTAGACGGAGAGGGAACCGCTCCCTGCAAAAATATCCATATAATTTTTTTTTTTTTTTTTCCGGAGCAATCTGCAAGCCTAGAGCCGGCAGGAAGATGAGGAAGAGGAATATTTAAGTCAGTATTATTTGATTGCGGTCAATTTTCCCTCTTATTTCCCAACTTTAAGAAATAATCCTGAAAACGTGGTGCTGCGGGGATGGTGTGCGAGCAATGCGGACTCTTCCAGCTTTTTTTTCTATAAATGCACAAACAGAGGAATATTATATTTTTAAAAGAGCTTGAGGCGGAAAAAATGCTATTAAAAAAAAAAAAAACAAAACCAAACAACCTAACGACCGGGTCTCACATCTGCTCTTATTTCTAATTGCTCCTTCCCCTCTTCCTATTTTTTATTTATGGGTACCACTCTCTAAGCGGTTCCACATTTTGGTGAGTGTAAACATCCCTGAGCTGGTTTGGGTTCATTAACCCACTCGCCATAGCGGGGAAAGCCGCCCTCATAAGCTGAGAAATTAAAAGAAATGATTAAAAAAAACAATAAAAAAGAGCATTTTTTTGGAAATTAAATCCTCCATTTGGGAGCTGAGAGTTGGTTTGCACATCCACCCTCCTCCTCCATGCCCGCCACGGACCCTTCCCCAAGGAAACCACAGGTTTAAATGTGATTTTTCTCCGCTGTTACCTCTAGAAGACGACCTTTTTCTCTTGTTTTCTTCTCTTTTTCTCTTGGTTTGGGGTTTTTCCTCTTTTTCTCCCCCCCCCCCCCATTCCTTTTTTTCTCCCCCCCCCCCTTTTGTATTTTTCTTGGGGTTTTTTCTCTCTTTTTCTCTCTTCTTTTTTTTTTTCTCTCTTTTTCTTCCCCCTTTTTTGCTTGTTTTCTTCTCTTTTTCACCCCCTCCCCTAATTTTCGTCACGCAACCCGCCCTAACCCACCGAATTCCAAAATTCAGCGTTTCACGAAGACCGTATTTCCCAGGGAAGCGAAGTGGAAATGCCCTTCCCCAAACCTGCCGGCCCAATTTGCTGTTATTTTGGGGGTTTATTATTATTATTTATCTTGGTCTTTTTTGCTTGTTTTCTTCTCTTTTTCACCCCCTCCCCTAATTTTCGTCACGCAACCCGCCCTAACCCACCGAATTCCAAAATTCAGCGTTTCACGAAGACCGTATTTCCCAGGGAAGCGAAGTGGAAATGCCCTTCCCCAAACCTGCCGGCCCAATTTGCTGTTATTTTGGGGGTTTATTATTATTATTTATCTTGGTGTCTGCCTTCCTCAGGGCTTCGACCATCAACACCGAGCCCCTCGCCCGCTGCCCGCTCCGCTCCGCGCATCCCCCCGCTCCGCCTCTATTACCCTTTACCATAAATCTTTACATTTTTAACATTTAATCCCCTTCCCACGCCTTGCGGATAGGACATATGCTACAAAATGTTAACTACTTCATAAAAATTAAAGGCGCAAAAAAAATAGAGTGAAGGCTGCTGGGGGAGGGAAGGGTTATTTTTCTGTTCGGCTCCCCCCGTCTCTTCCCCCCGACGTGGCGGACACCCGGCTTTAATTTACGTATCATTTCTTGCTCGGCTTCTTCCATCTCCTCTCCGAGCCATGTGGTTCTTGGGATGGGGAGGGATGTTGGCTCTGGGTGGACTCACAGCAGTCTGTGGAATTCCAAGGATGCGGGCACGGATTTTATTTTATTTTATTTTATTTTATTTTATTTTATTTTATTTTATTTTATTTTATTTTATTTTATTTTATTTTATTTTATTTTATTTTATTTTATTT